GCTACACAAAAAAAATAAATAAATAAATGCGTTCGCATTGTTATAACTTTGTTACAACCGCAGACAGATCAAGGTAGTGTTTGTCTTTTTCATATCTACCACTGCACTATACCGATCACCTAGTTTGGAATAGAACTATGTAAAATGAAATAAGGATACAGTTTGGAATGATGAGATAATACCATTTATTTCTAGAGAATAGCACAAGGAAAGGGGAACAAAGTTACCTCAAAGCTTGAAACAGTGCAATCATAATCGTACTTTATTCAGATTAGTAAAGCGATAGGAGAAACACTTCTAAACACTGAAGTGCGTTTCTGAACAGGTGGGATTTTCAGGATAAAGTTTGTGTAAGTTGTGAGGTGTATTTTTTTCTTCCTAAATTATAATTATTTCATCTTGAACTTCCATTCAAAAGTGACCGGCTTTGACTCTAAACAAAGGCATCAGAAAAACCAAATAAGAAGCCCCACTTCTGTTAGCTGAGGTAGATGACTAGTAACATACCCGATAATGCCGACAGTTTAAGATTAAAATCGTTCAGGTCCGATCACTTGTGCATAATTATTATTGATTAGTAAAGCATTTTGCATTGCAAGCTGAAGACGGGAGTTCGATTCCATATCAGAAAGATGATTTCATCGAGTATCTCCGCGCTTGCTGTAACTTTTGGGACGAAAGAGCGTCCTAAAGTCTCGACAGCGGTGAAAAAAGTAGGATGTCCAGCAAGAGTGGGGCTGTCAGACAAGCATGATCACAATCATATTTTGGTAATAGCTAGCTTTTTGTAAACGGTATGTTTGTATGTTGCATTTTGGCCGTTTCCTCGTTGTTGACATGGTGAGGAACACATAATTATGTTGTGGAATAAAAACAGTACCGTTTGCTAGTCAATAATAGTGCATTATAACGAGCTGCATTTAGAAAAATATAATTACTAGAATGGAGAGGAATACAGATTGTGAACAAGAAAAAGAGAAACAGTGAACCTCGAATTGAATGCAGAGAATCTGTCGAGTCCAACTTCCAAGATTTTCGGCCCCCCCCCCGCAACATTTCAGACGCCTGTGCCAAGCTACCATGGAAAATCCTGGCTTATCTTGGGATCCTTTTGATTTCTGGAATCAAAAGCTCTTTACGTTTTATAGACAGATACTTTCCGAAGTTTTGGCCCAAATTTACCACCTCCTAAGTTTAGAATTTAACAACTGGTGAACATGTCTACCGTCAGCTATATTTGGTTCCCGAACTTGATCCGTAATTTGTTATGGAAAAAGGTAAAATCGTCCAGTAACACATACTGCGATAACACCTAATCCCCCCCCC